GCATGGTGAGTCAGTCCTCGACTAACCTACGGGTAGGTAGTCAATCATGGCGGATCAACAAAGTACTCGAACAACAAGTATTATTCCAGAAAATAAACATAAGCCAAGCAAAAGAAAAAGAAAAGATGCGGAGCAAGGCTGAGATCATTACCGGTGTCGTCTATTAAAGTATAGTACCTTAGAGTTTCAAAGTGATGCTTCCATAGAACGACCAGAACCCAGCCCATGCATCCAATCATCGCATCAAGATATCCAACACCAATCACTTCCCTCTCATGCTCTCAAGATTGACATCAGATGCAACCATCAAATCGTACTGCTTCATCAGCGATACACAAACACCTAAATTGCGGTGCACTGCTGGTATATCTCAGTGTCATCTCAAGTCCAGAGAACCTAAAGAGCCCCTCCCTCCATGTGCCAGCCGATTCAAGCCGATCTTACTGTCTGCGCAAGTTCAACAGGTCAAAGAGGTTTCGTCTTACGCCCGAAAATGGCATCGGCACAGATCCATCCTGACCAGCTTCTCCGTCCAGTTGGGCAATAGTACGAGGATATCCTTTTCTGGCTTGTGAATATGGTAGGTTTGTATGATATTTCCATTGGCAGGCTTGCCTCTTCCCAGACCAATTTCTGGCAAGATCAAGAATCCACCACGTCTTCATATATACATACAGACATCGACAAGGCCTCTCCAACAAGCAGTTGAGGATGCACTGTGCCCTGCACGTTTCCCCATGTAACATGGCCAGGACAAACCCAACGTAGAGACCTATTCTTGAAGAGCGGAGATAGTTTGCATGAATCCCTCTGGCTGCAGTCGGCGCCCCTATTTCTCTGGTCCTGATCCAGAAGAGATGAAGGCAACATGCTGTATTCAAACGAGGTTTGCTTTTGTAGACACCGTCAAAACGACATCGTTAGGCCCAACCCAAATCTAATCAGATGATCGACACGAAACTCCCGGCCCATGCTTCCGATAATGAACGCCTCAGGCATCAAAGCAATCGCAAAAAATCAACGTGAGATACATAGCATAGCAGCAGCCGAATTAATATATTACGGCGATGTTGAAATGTGCTCATGATCTCTTTCAATCATCCTCTTCGTGAGATTCCTTCTTGGGCGTCTTTGCGAGCTGCTTCTGCCAAATCTTATTGGCGGCGTCCTTGTCGAGCTCGGCGAAGAGAATGTTGAACACTTCCGAGTACCAGCTCACTGCGTGGCCTTCAATACCTTCTTTGATGTTCTACATATATTGTCAGCTCGATGAATGTACCATGGAAGATGGTATATTATGGAAATTACTCACCTCGGGTAGCTCTAGCCAGTCGGACATATTGTCTGCAGGGAAGATAATCTTCTTCGCACCAGCACGACGAGCAGCTACTGTCTTCTCCCGCAAGCCGCCGATACGAAGGACTTTGCCCGTCACCGTCAGTTCTCCTGTCATTGCTATTGTCGGGTCGAGAGGGTGGTTCAGGGCCAGCGAAAGAAGAGAAGTGGCCATGGTGATACCGGCAGATGGACCTGAATCCACTTGTTAGACCTCCATCGAGAAAAGGTAGCATGGGCTGAGAATTTTTCTCGACTTACCATCCTTGGGAACAGCGCCTTCAGGGCAATGCATATGAAGTTTCGCCTTCTCAAAGAATTTGTTCTCCGGAAACTGCTTAGCCAAGACCGACTTTGCAAACGAGTATGCAATCTGCGTGGATTCTTTCATCACAGTCTGCAGATTTCCCGTGATGTCGATACCAGGCCGTGACTCGGGAGTCAGAGCATTTTCCAAAATTGACTCGACGTACAGTGCGGCTCCGCCCATGCTGGTCCAGGCCAGACCCATTGTGACACCAGGGGGGAAGGTGTCGTAGAGTCGGTCTGCTGTGAAGACAGGAGGACCGACGTAATCCGTAAGGCTGTCTTTGCCGATACTGAGGTGCACGCTCTCAGGAACCTTGAGCGCGAGACGTGGAGTCTCCGTTGTCGATTTTTCGGGATCGGCAGGGGGTTCCATGGGATCGGTGTCTTCGGTCTCCTTCTTCGATTCCTCCTGCGCGGCTTTGCCCTCGTCAGTGAGAGCCTTGTCTTCTCCAAGAACATCCTCGCCAAGATCCTCGACGATCTTGAAAGCCGCTTTGCGATATACTTTCTCAATCTGCTTCTTCAGATTTCGAACACCACTCTCGCGGCAATACGACTTGATCAGTTCCTCGATGGCGTCCTTCTGGAGCGTGACGTCGACATCCTTCAGACCCGTGAGTTCCCTTGCAGCAGGTGCAAGGTATCGCTCGGCAATAGCCATCTTCTCATCCGCAACGTAACCGGACAGCTCAATGAGCTCCATGCGGTCCAGTAGAGGCCGAGGAATGGTGTCTGTGACATTGGCCGTGCAAACGAAGAGAACCTTCGATAAATCGACTGGAACATCCATGTAGTGATCGAGGAAGGATGAGTTCTGTTCTGGGTCTAGAAGTTCGAGCAGGGCCGATGATGGATCACCCTGATGACCTCGTCCGATTTTGTCCACCTCATCAATCAGAATCAGAGGATTCTCGGTCTGGCACTTCTTGAGGGCTTGAATGATACGGCCGGGAAGTGCACCCACGTAGGTCCGACGATGTCCCTTGATCTCAGCAACATCCGTGAGACCTCCAACGGAGAACCGGTAATACTGGCGGTTCAGAGCTCGGGCGATCGACTTTCCGATACTGGTCTTTCCGACACCTGGGGGTCCTACAAGGCAGAGAATCTTGCCTTCCACGGTCCCGCGAAGCTTTCCAACCGCAATGAATTCAAGGATACGATCCTTCACATCCTTCAAGCCATAATGGTCTTCGTCCAAGACACTCATGGCATGCTTGATACCAAAGTTCTCCACACTCTTCTGACCCCATGGAATTTGAGTCAGCCAGTCCAGGTAATTCCGAGTAACGTTGAATTCCGATGCGGCTGGCTCGAGGTGGGCCAGTTTGTTGATCTCCTCGTCAAACACCTTTTTGACAGCCTCTGGCATGGCCAACTTCGATGCCTTTTCTTTGAACTTCTCCACCAGTTTGTCCTTGCCGTCCGACTCAATACCCAATTCTCTCTTGATGCCCTTCATCTGCTCCATCAGCCAATACTCGCGTTGACGTTTCTGAATCTTCGCCTCGACATCCTTGGATATCTTGGACTGGAGCTGTGCGTTCATCAATTCCTTCTTCAACACTACTAATGCCTTTGGAAGTCGCTCTTCAATGTTCATAATCTCGAGGACTTCTTGCATCTCATGCAGTTCTCCAGCAGAGACTGCGGCGGCAAAGTCGGCCAATTTAGCTGGCTCATCGCTGAGATTACCCGGAAACTGGTCGGTATAGAATGCGGAAATTTGGTCACGGAAGAGGGGGTTCAAACTGGCAATCTCCTTGCAGACGTTGACAATTTCACTCGTCACCGCACGGATGATAGCGCTCTTCTTGTCAAAAGGCTCCTCCGCCAAATTCTCCACATTCACCAAGCTGACGGGGTATTTGCGCAAGAAAGAAGTAGGCTCGTAGAGTTCCTTTGGGGTGGGTTCGGCCCCGCCCTCTTCAAAGCTCGCCACGACATCCCCCCGCTTTTCGATAGCCTTGTCCTCAGCGCCGCCAGCCTTGGCCTGTTCACCAGGAGGAAGAAGAGACGAAATCTTGATGCGACGATGAGGATAAAGGACGGCTGTCACACCGCTGGCTTCTCCACGAAGAGGGTAGGCAGCAGTAATTTGAGCAAACACACCGACATCGTACACGTCGTCGAGATTTTCAATCACATCGCCATCGGCATTCTCATCCTTGAACAAGAAGGCACCCACGTAAGGCTGTCCTCGTTTCATCATATCCTGGATTGCTGTTGCCACATTCGGGTCTCGGATGGTGATCGCTTTGTAGAAGCCAGGGAACAGAGGTCGCTTAGCGATGGGGATAGCCATGACCTGAGGATAAACCTCCGGAACGGATGGCTTCTGTAAAGCTTTATCACCTGAGCCTTTCTTACCCCTTCGTCCACCATCTTCGTTCCCGCCGTTGCTCGGAGTAGACTTCGAGTCCGAAGAGCCCCCTCCACTGACAGGAATGGGGGACGGATTCTCCGTAGTATCTGACTTCCCTTCTATGGCACCGTTTTCTTTCTTTGCATCTTCCTCCACTCCACGCTGCTCCTTCTCCCCCACTACTTTATCTCTCCGCCGTCCGGAGCCCGATGTCGGAGTTCCCGGTTCCCTCCCTGTTGAGTCGGGTGACCTTCTTCGACTTTCAGGGGATCTGTCGCCGTCCTTTTGTTCGTTTGAATCCTTCTGCTCTTGCAGAGTTGAGTCTTCCTTCTCCTCACCCGGTGGAGGCTTCTCTCTTCGTCGGATAGAGCTCGTAGAAAAGGCGCGCGGAGACAGTGAGGGCGAGCGAGAGAGGCGGTATACGCTTAAGTTTAAACGTACAGAACCATTGTTTCGAGCGAAAGCAAGTAGAGGTCGAAGGACTAACGGGCGTGGCGTCCGGTGGAGCGCGGCTCTCCAGGGGAGTGACTGGCCGCGGAGCATGCTATTGTGTTAAGGAACGAAAGGAGGTAGAGAAGGGGTATGCAGGGAAACTCCGTTGTATATCTGTAATGAAGAGAGTAAAGCTATAGACGTGCACAAGAAAGAGTAAAAAATTAGACGAAGACCAGAGAAAGCATTACTCAAACAGACGTCGAGTGACTGTTTCGGTAGCCGAGCAGGTGCTTTCATCATCATCAGCACCCGGCGCATCATCATTTCTCCGGGCGGGTTCGGGGAACTTTTTCGAAAGCCGACTCGAAGCTTCTAAAAGACCCCAAAGCTTCCAATCCACTCTCCTCCATCTCCAGAGGTTCGGCAAAACTTCGATTGCGATGTTCCCCTGCCTAGTCGGGTCTTCTTTTCATTAGCGCCATTGACTTTTTTTCATATTTCTATCTTTTTGATCCGATAACGTCCTCAGTCGCTTACTACACCATCGATATCCAACATGAATTCCACTACCGCGGCAATGCCTAAAGTTGCGGCTATCCCCGCTCGTCTGTTGCGGACTTCACGCCAATGCTCAAACCAGACTCCAGCGAACAAAGTCCGATCATCGACTCATATTCGAACCCACCATGTCTCGACAATCGCTTCCTCCGGCAAGCGTTCGCGTGATGGCGTCTATTCTAGGAAATTCCCCTCAATCGTCTCGGCAAGGGTAGGTAGTTGTCGTCGGTTATTTATCCAGAACTGTATCTATTGTGATTGTATCTGAACAGTTGCTGACCCATTCTCTTCTTCACAGAGCTTTCACGCGACTGCAACTCTTGCCGCTGTTCCCGATCCTTACAAGGTTTTAGGAGTGGATAGGAATGCTTCAGCAGGAGATATCAAGAAGGCTTACTATGGAATGGCAAAAAAATATCATCCGGATACCAACAAAGACCCGAACGCCAAGGAAAAGTTTGCGGAGGCTCAGTCGGCTTATGAGCTACTATCCGACGCCAAAAAGAGAGAGACTTACGACCGGTTCGGTTCCGCCGCATTCGATCAAAACGGCGGCTTCGACCCCAACGCGGCAGCTGGTGGTAACCCGTTCGCCGGTGCTGGCGGGTTTCACGGTTTTGGTGGGGGCTTCCCCGGCGGTTTCGCTGCAGATATCAATTTCGAGGATCTATTCGGTGCTTTTACGGGCGGCGCACGTCGCGCCGGCCGGGGCAGACGCGGCCCTTTCCAGGAGGTTTTGGTAGGCGAGGACATCGAGGTTCAGACCAATATCTCTTTCATGGAGGCTGCCAAAGGTACATCAAAAGATGTCGTCATCACGCCCTTAACTCAATGCGGTACTTGTAAAGGAGAGGGCCTGAAAGAGGGTGCCAAGCGATCGCAATGTCGCCAGTGCAACGGCTCTGGCACGCGTGTGCACTTCATGCAGGGTGGCTTCCAGGTGGCAGCCACTTGTGATGCTTGTGGAGGAGCAGGCATGACCGTTCCGCGGGGTTCTGAATGCGGTACTTGCAGAGGCAACGGGGTCGTTCGGGACAAGAAAACTATCACGGTTGACATCCCAGGCGGTGTTGAGGACGGCATGCGGTTGAGGGTGGCAGGCGAAGGAGACGCACCTCCTACAGGAACGCAAGCCACCCCGGGTACCCGCACCCAACGAGGCGATCTCTACGTTTCTATTCGGGTCGCACCTGACCATCGCTTCAGTCGCTCCGGTTCCGACATCCTCTACACTGCTTCCATTCCACTCACCACTGCTCTCCTCGGCGGTGAAGTGACGATCCCAACGTTGGATGGCGAAGTCAAAGTGAAGGTAGCCACCGGAACTGGCACTGGCGATCGGATTACGCTCTCCGGGATGGGCATGAAGAAGCTGGGAGGTCGGTCCAAAGGGTACACGCCAACAGGTGACCTGAAGGTTGAGTTCAAGGTTGCCATGCCGAAGTACTTGACGGCCAATCAGCGAACGATCCTGGAAGTCCTCGCGGATGAGATGAACGACAAGACTGCTCGACGGATGATGAACATCGGGAAAGACAGGTAAGGATGGTTGGCTGCAAAGTGTTCTTTTTCGGTAGAAAATGCTGACCATGCCATGTGCACGAAATAGCGCTCCATCAGAGGCAGGCGCCCCCAACGAGGCCCAGAAGAATGAAGGCTTCCTCAAGTCCGCCTGGCACAAGCTCATGAATCACACGAAGAACGACAACGGTGGCAACTCCGCTAGCAACCCAAGCAAGAAAGAGTCGGGCGACGCCAAAAAGGGCGACAAGGAAAGCAAATAATCCTCTGGCCCGAGCTCCTCGACCTGTACAGTTGAGATTTGCGTACTGTGGATCTACTTCATTTTCTGAAATGTATTAAACTTTTTCTTTTTGGACATATATCATAGCGCCGGCGAGTTGGTGTTTGTTTGTGGTTATTTCTGTTCATCATCATGGTGGGATGTTTTCGGTGTCTGTCTATACCTCCTTTTCGACCGCTACGTGGACGGTTAGACGAGAAATTACGCGGGATTCTGGATTGTATGTGAGCATGCATGGATGTACTATTAGAATTACCTGAGCTGCAACACGAAGAAGACATCTCTACTTTTCCAACTGAATCGACGTCATTATCCAGCCGCGAATCCACCGAGTGTTTCTGCTTTGGCGCCGATCCGAAGCTGTTAGCTGCTATTGCTCTGCTGACGGTCGGCACTATGATTCAGTCAATTCCGCCTATTTAGGCAGTCATTGCCCCTCGATTTCCATCCAGAAGAACTCTCCCGTCCCTTTCTTGGGAATTCTGCCGGCGTAGACTGAGCTTCTTGCGCCTATATTGTTTAGCTGTCAGTCTCCTCACCGTTCCCACCATGTTCGTCATATATCTTGGCTCCCTGGACTAACATACGTTAGGCCGTGCCCCTTCCTGGTTACCCCACAGCAGCACAGCTCCATCACATCACAGTCCCCGATACGTCGACCTGTCCCCGTCTTCCACCGTTCAATCTACATTGCACATTGTTACCTCTGGATCCGCCTTATACTATACCTCTAGTCTCTCTCTGCGCGTGGATGGGAGCTCCCCGCTCCGAGCGATCATCAACATGGTTCAGTCTCCGATGCTGTCCTGTCCGTTGAAGCAGACCAACGAGATCGATTGGATTCGGCCTCTTAAGGACTATATCAGACAAAGTTACGGGGAAGATCCGGAACGATACAATCAAGAATGCGCCACCCTCAACCGCTTAAGACAGGACATGAGGGGTGCTGGAAAGGACAGTGCGACGGGCCGCGATCTACTATACCGATATTATGGGCAGCTTGAGCTTTTAGACTTGAGATTCCCCGTCGATGAGAATCACATCAAGATCTCCTTTACATGGTATGGCTTCCCAGCTTGTTGACGGGCACCGCTGGCTGAATGGTTCACTTTTGCTGATCGACGCTTCATCGTCCCATGACAGGTATGATGCTTTTACCCACAAACCGACCTCTCAGTACTCGTTGGCCTACGAAAAGGCGTCGATCATCTTTAATATCTCCGCCGTCCTCTCATGTCATGCAGCCGACCAGAACCGCGCAGAAGATAGCGGATTGAAAACTGCCTACCATTCCTTCCAGGCATCAGCAGGGATGTTCACTTACATCAACGAGAACTTCTTACACGCCCCTTCGACCGATCTGAACCGGGAGACAGTCAAAGCATTGATCCACATCACACTTGCTCAGGCGCAGGAGGTCTTCCTCGAGAAACAAGTGGCGGACCAAAAGAAAGCTGGGTTTCTGGCCAAGTTGGCCAGTCAAGCGGCTTATCTTTACTCGCAGGCCGCTGAAGGAATTCAGGAGTATGCCAAGGGTGTCTTTGATAAGTCGTGGACCATCGTTGTCCAGGCGAAAGCGGCTCACATGGCGTCGGTGGCTTCGTATTATCAAGCTTTGGCGGACAGTGAGAGCAATTCCCACGGAGTTGCTATCGCCAGGCTGCAGCTGGCTGACAAAAACTCGATTGCTGCGCTGGGATGGGCCAAGTCATTCCCGACGTCTGTCGCGGCCAACTCGAACTTGAGTTCTGAGTCGGGGGCCAATCTGATTGAAACAATTAAATACCACCAGGCGAATGTGCAGGCCAAACTCACCACCTTTGTGAAGGACAACGACTTCATCTACCATCAGCCCGTTCCCAACGAAGCTGGCCTGTCCGCTGTTGCCAAGCTGCCCGCAGCGAAGGCTATCCCCGTGAGTGAACTTTACCAGGGACAAGACATTCAACGTATCATCGGACCAGATATCTTCCAAAAGCTCATCCCCATGTCCGTGACCGAGACAGCCAGTCTCTATGACGAAGAAAAGGCCAAGTTGATCCGAGCGGAAACGGAAAAGGTCGAGACAGCGGACAGCGAGATGGCTGCCAGCCTTGACTACTTAAAGCTCCCCGGAAGCCTCAATATCCTCAAAGGTGGCATGGATCAAGAAATGACGGTTGACGACGACTTCCGACAATGGTGCCAGGAACTAGCGGGCCACCAATCGTTTAATAAGGCGTTTGACACCCTTCAGAATCGAAAAGGCGAGATACTGTCACAATTAGATCAATGCTCAAAACAGCTCGACCTAGAGGAGAGCGTATGTGAGAAGATGCGATCGAAGTACGGGGCAGACTGGAGTCAGCAGCCCAGTGCCAGGCTGAATACTACACTGCGCAGTGACATCCGGACGTATCGGGACACCATCAACGAGGCCAGTGCCAGCGACTCGCAGCTTCTAGCCACCCTCAGACAACACGAGACGGATTTCGATGAAATGCGCTCCGCTGGTGAAACGAACGAGGCTGACGTGTTGTATCAGCGCGCAATGATCAAAGCCGGATCGAAACATGGAAAGGGCAAGAATGGAGTTGGTAGCCCGTATGCATCCACTCCGGAGGAGAGCCTGCTAGATGACGTTTACGATGAGGGAAGCCTTTCGGTGGCGGAACAAATCGCCAGGGTGGAATCCATTCTGAAGAAGTTGAATCTAGTGAAGCGGGAACGGTCTCAGGTGCTGAAAGACTTGAAAGAAAAGGTAGACAGTCTCCGAACCTTCTCTGTGGCATTCGTTCTGATCTAATGGTACAATCGCAGGTTCACAATGACGATATTTCCAATGTCTTGATCTTGAACAAAAAGTCGATTGCTGGACAAGAGAGTCAGCTCTTTGAAACCGAGTTGGAGAAATTCCGTCCGCACCAGAACCGGTTGCTCCAAGCCAATCACAAACAGGCCGCATTGATGAAGGAACTCACCAAGGTTTATGGCGACTTGCTTCAAGATAAGCGAGTACGGTCCGAACAATCAAAATATGAAACCATCACCCGCCAACGCAACACCGTGATGGCTCGGTACAAGAAGATATACGATGCCTTCAACGGTCTGCTCTCCGGAATCGTGCAAGCACAGACTTTCTACACGGAAATGGGTGAAACAGTAGACAGTCTGAAGAAGAATGTCGAAACCTTTATCAACAACCGCCGGTCTGAAGGAGCTCAACTCCTCGGGCAGATCGAGCGGGAGAAGGCGAGTACTGCAACGGAGCAGGAGGACCGGGAACGAGAGAAGCTACGGCAGCTCATGGAGCGCCTGTCGACTGAGCCAAAAGCTACATCTACTCCCTCACCATCGACGGCCCCTTCCAAGGCCAAATCCCCTCCACCACCCGTGAAGACGCCCGGGTATCCGGGTCCGGGCATTACCTCTCCTCAGATGTCACCACACTTTGCGCCTGGTGTTGCAGGCCAACAGCATGGCATTCCTCTCTCCCATTCCCCCGCACCTTATGGTCAATATGCCGCGCCTCCTGGTGGAGTCTCTTACATGCAGGGGCAACCGTACCAACAAGGCGCTGCGGCACCGTTGTCAGAGGGCTACAACCCGATGGCATATCCAGTGCCCGCTTCGATTTCCCCTCCCCCTGCTCAGCAATACTATTCGTCCACACCCGCTCCCTACAGCGGGTACTCGAATCCAACACCGCCAACTGCTCCGTCACAGTTCATGCCACAGGGTTACGTGCCCCCTCCACCGCCGCCGCGGCCGCAGCAAACTTCCTACCCACCCGCTACAGGTCCATGGCCGTCCGGTCCCGGGGGATACGCGCAAAGCAGGCCCTACGGGACAAGCCAGCATCACAAGGCGCAGTCGCAGTCTCAGTCATCCTCCTCGACGGACCCGTGGGCGGGCCTCAACGCGTGGAAATGAGGCTTCCAGGCACGGATCTCAACTATTAGCCATCATGAAGTATGATAGACATTTGGGAGGGGATGTCGAACGGTTCGCATTCTGGCGTTGGCTATATGATCTATGGCTTTCATGCTTTTGCCGTATTTTCTGTCAAGTCTTTGTTCTTACCCCGCGCCGTCGCAAATTATATCATTTTCTCTCCAGTTCTCATCTTAGGTATTCTGCCATGTATTGATGATGCTATTGTTCAGCGAGAATATATAAATGAAGTCAATGTGTTTAAAAGTTCTGTTGGACCCTAGTTAGAAGGCGGTGGTCTACCGACCTCAGAGACAATCATCTCATATATCAGATATCAACAGAGAGACACGGAGGCGTGATAGTACCTATCAATGCAGCCATGCACAGTCACATGCAGAGAACATACATACACCACAGGTAAGAGAACATCGGTCAAGATCAACGCATCCTGCAGGTCGAAAAGAAACATCCGTGGCAATTGCAGCGCATTCATGTCACCAGAAAAATAGGTAATGGAGTGACCCGTAAGAGTAACGAGACTAGGCACCTCTGGAAGCAATATATCCGTACAGGAAGAAAACACTTGAGAACAAACGAAGGGGGTATCATGGAGAAAGGGGCAATGCTCGCGTAGATGAGTGAAGAGCGATGAGATATGAGAAGCCCAAAAAAGAGGTAAGAGAATTCGCCCGACCAGTCAATCAGTTATACAAAACTCCAGCCCAGCACCGATAGAGGAAAGCGGAAATGGACCGGAAAACCCGTCCCATACACAAGAACAAGCTATGGCAACAAGAGACGAAAGAAGAATGACGAGCGAGCTAAGGCTGGAACCTTAACCGGAACTGTCTTCCCCTGCCTTCTTCTCGGACCTTGTAGAGAAAGCGAGCGATAGCTTCCTGCTCGGCCAGCGCGGCGCTGTTGAAATGCTTACGGACGGCTGTCGCCAGCTGAGTCTTGCTCACACGGCCCTGGCCGATGGTGCGATTCAGTGCGGTTTTGTCCTCCGCTGGGCCGTGTTCCTTGCGATGGCGGGTACGCCCCGAGAGAGAATGGCTGGTGATG